ACTCAGCGCCACGGGCAGCGACTCCCACCTCCCCTCAGTCACCGCCTCCATCTTTGACGGGCGCCTCGGCCGTGTCCGCCGCCCGGAATCGCCCCCCACCGCCCCGCGGTCCGTCCTCGGCAGGGCCGCACGGAAACACGCACCGCAGCACCTTGGTTCCGCCTCCTCCGGCCAGACCCTGGGGGCCTTTGCCCCTGTGAGAAAACTCGGTCGTAAACACCACCCTTGGGACACAGCAACAAAAACCGTATTTTTGTGGCAAGCGGCCCATCATAGTAAGTACTTCTGCAGGTCACACAGAGGCACTGTGACACCCAACTGCCCAGAGTTGAGTAGCAAAGCTGTAGGTTTAGAATTACCTGCAACAACTTCTACCTGCCCAAAAAGTGGGATGGCGTTTGGATGAATTCCTGATATCATAAGAGATACCTTATGAAAAAGCCTTGAGTGTTAAACTGTACTTCCTTAAAGCATCAAAGAAAAAAAAAAAACAAAGCTACTTTTTTTTTTTTAAAGAATTTGTTTATTTATCGAACCTGGATCATATTTAGATTCACAAGCAATTTTTAAATGTACATCTTAGAATTCAATTTTAAGTGTTTTACACAAAAATATTGGCACACAACAGTCGCAATAAGGTGTAACAGCCACCTTTCTGAAGAACTGCTGCAAGTGTTTGCCCAAGGTTGAAAAAACTTTACCTGGAACATGAAAACCTGTAACAAATTTTAAATTAATTGTACAAAACTGTTGTGTGTTACTTGTAGAGGCTCCCCCCTGGAAAAGACCCCACCCCACCCCAAAAATGATTACAGCTAATATACATCAGTCACAACATAATCCTGGCTCAGCACCCACATCAGACGCTTCTTTAATTTTTAAACCAATCATCAGATACCAAGGAAAGTAACTTTATACAAAAACAAATCTACATGTGCCTGAAAAAGAAACCACCAGTATTTAGCATTATGCTAATTATGATCAGATAATGGCAGAGACTGCCACTTAACTTAAATACAAGGGCTGCATAGCATCGCAATAAACCCCCAGAATCATTAACCCTTTGGCATCAGGAATCCAGATTTCCTGAACACTAATGCATTCTGCAACAGCGCCAGCACTCTGAGCTTTGGACCTGCAAAAACCAAAGGGTTAACTATTGTTTGCCAAGACACTGCACACAATTGGCTTCGATATAAAACCTGTGAAAGGCTAAAAACCATACGATGAACATTCGGTAATGAGAGGAGAAAGTGTATTTTCATACCGACTATTTAATTTAAAAGAACTTTGGGAGTAAGTTGATGTAATTAGGGTAGTTACCGAAGACTTCCTTTTAAATAGCAACTAGGTATCAATACTCGATTGGAAGTTGTCAGCTGTCTTCTACTCGTTATCAGAAAAAAGTTCCAATCACTCCTCCTTGGCAGTTTATGTAAGTGAAGAAAGGATTATTTGGATTTCGTAACACCTACTGCAGGGTTCAAGATGTCAAAAATGCAAACAGTCATGTTAGGGACTTGTACCGTTCCCCTAGATAGAACTGCAAGGACGAAAACAGGGAAAAAGTTAGAAAAGACATCAACATTGCTTGTTACTACAGTTGAATTACAGCATTTGTAGCTTGCTTGGACCTCGCTTAGCATACAGACTAGGCAGATTTAAGTGAAAAAAATTATGCCAATTAAGTGACAAGATTTCAGCACAGCTTTTGCTACAGAAGATATATAAAAACAATTCATTTTTAACTAGGAAGGAACATAAGCAGTAAGTTTTACAGTTCAGTAAAGAGGGTTCAGAAACTAAATGACTTTTTTTTGTGACCAGGATGTTTGGTAGACAGTGAACTGAAATCCGGGACCAGAAAAGTACTCTTAAACAACCCTTCGGACTTCAAAAAACCTCTTCAGATAGTAGATTTGTCCCAGTGTCATGGCAACTAATACAAGAGCTTCAAAGAATGACCAAAGAACCACTCTGCTGTTTGTGTTGTCATTAACTGTTGGGGAAGAAAAAAAAAAAAAGTAGTAAGTAACAAAGCATTTAAAACAACCTTAAAACATATTTTGTCATTGTAATTGAAGAACTGCACACAAACCACTGATATTTTTATCATGTCATTACAAATGTCTCAGAAGGACTCTGCAGTCTTAGAGTGAGATCTGAGAGCTGAGGGGCGGTATTTTTCTGAACAGCTTGAACTGTGCTACGCCAGCAGATGTTTTAACCTCAACTTTGGACACACACAGCAGCATCTTTCTCTATTCTACCCACCTTCAAAGGGGCCAGACAGAAGCTTCTAACTGCCAAACAGAAGCCACTTTTTCAAGTAACGGTTGCATATTACAGTCTCAAAGTCAAGTGGGCAATTTCTGATCTCTAAAGGTTCATCATCTTTGGTTCTAAAATTCAACATTTTCTTAAATCAGACCATTAGCAACAAAAGTCATAAAACTGGAGATATCCGTAAGTTCAAAAAGTTAAGGGGCCAGTGCTTTAACATAATGTTGCATTTTCACATTAAAAATATTTGCCCTTTATTCTCACCAGGCTTCCCCCAATGTACCACTTAGCGCTCTCAGTCATATTTTAAAGCTGTATTTCAGAAACTGAGGGTTTCTGGAATGACTGGAGGGTTAAGCATATTCTCTACTTGCAAATAACAGTAGTTCTGCTATATTTCAACAAAATATTTTAAAAAGACTTTAGCTCAATTATTAAGCCACACTCACTTCAAGGATGAAGTAACAGTTCAACCAAAGTCTCTCCCTGGGAACCGTATCATTACTGGTATCTTCATGAATATGCCATTCAAAGAACTATAGAATTCACACCAATTAAGCAAAGATTATTTTGTATAGCAATCTTCACTACATGAGAGGTGAGCAATTTAAAGAAGATTGCAAGCATCAACTACATTCTTTATTGTATAGGCAGGTCCTTCAGAACTTGTTCTAAATTTTTTTTTTTTTTTAGTAAGTTGGAAAAGCTTTCATGGACTTGTATTTTAAATCACATTTTGTAAGTTCATTTGAGAGGGGAGAGGCATTTGAGTCAAAGACACATACTTGCTCTATGTATTCTTTCACGAACTTCCATGTACTCCTGTTCATGCTTTACAGCTGTCATGGCCACTGCTAACTCATTAATCATCTCTTCTAGCTTGTTCTGATGAGCTGTGGAATAATTTCAAAAGCATCAGAAAGTCTGTTATTGACTCAGAAAACAATTAGTTAAAATTTATGAACAGTTATCCTTGATTTCCTGTCGCAGAAGTAGTTCTGAAAAACACAGTCTGTACAGCTGAAAACTTACTATCCTTACAGCAAAGTAAAGTTTAGTTTTCACAGTGCCATTTTTCCTAACACGTCTCTCTGGTATTTAGTAAGTGGGAAAACATCTTTCTCCACATCCGACTAGAAGGCAGAAGACACACAATTTAGAGTCAGTACAGACCACATATTTCCAATACGGGCATACTTTTCCAGAAAACAGAATGTAAGAACACATGAGATCAATACCACACGCTAGTATCTATTTTGCCAATATCGTCCAATATATTCCAAGCAAATTATCTTAACATTACAGCTTTTCCTAGTTGTTAAGCTTGCAAAAATAGAACGACTGAGAACGTAGCTTAAGATCATGATGCTGGCAAAACGAGATCACTTTCTGAAGCAACATATCACATCTTATGATCTTCCAGTTTAGCTGAAGCACAGCATTCAGCAGAAACAATGCCAAAGGGGGCCTGGCAGAGGGCAGGAACTGGCTTCAGGTTCTGGTATGTCGTGAAAGCAGAAGAGGAGGAAAATACCAAACCAACGATAACAGAAAACTAGCTTGAGATAGTTCAGCAAATGGAAGGATCAGAGATCCAAGATCTAGTGATTTGACTGTCAATCACAGGTTCTTCTAAATACATTCATGCTCAAAGAACTGTCCGCTTACAAATTTATAAATTATGCAAGTAATTTCAAAGTTTTCTAGCACCAAGAGAAGTTCAAGATTATCATTCCACAGACACACCCTGGGCAATCAGCTCTCTTAAAAAAAGTCACAAAACCCAACACATTTTCTATTGAAGGGATGTACTTGACTTTGAAGCTACCTTATTACCTTTTTATTTACAAATTGTTTCAGATCACAATCTGAAAATAAAGCTATTCCAAAATACACACCTTACGGGGAACAGTCAAAAAGAGGACCAGAGAATAACACTCATACAAGTTACAATTAAAATCTTAAATAGTTGTGTAAACCACATTCACTTTGCTAATATCGTAAATTCTTATTTTCATGGCCAACTGGTCATTCCAATAAGTGCAGTTTATTAGTAAGAGAAGAAATTACAGTTGCAGGGATTGTTTAAACCCACTCCAAAAAAAGTGTTTGCCTTAAAAATTTAAAGCTGCACCAATATTCTTTACAACAGATCTATTCAGACTCAATAAAAGATTTAACTGAGTCTTTAAAAAAAAAAGTTAGGAATTTGTTACTTTTCAAGTGATATCAAGCACTTAATGCACACAGTTATTTACTTGCTAAAATAGAAAACAAGAATTTATTGCCTTTCTAGCTACAGTTAGTAATTTCTAAATAAGACTTTATAACTTGTTACCCAATACATTCATTCATTTCTTTTACAGCAAATGACAAGTTTGAAGTTTTTCCCCTTGTAACATTACTGAGAATTAATATCCTAAAAGAAGCTTATTGCTTCCAAAAGGCCTTGATTATTCAACACCCACTTTAGCAACAAAAAGCAAACACCATCTAAAGCATCCAAGGTTCTTGGATGTTCAGTGTTTTAATTCCTGGTTTAATTTCAGCTAAAACTCCTGATTAAGTCTTCTGTTAGCCATAAATAACCACCTGAAGACGAACTGTCACGGACAGTTCAAGGACCTGATCCCAAGAGCTGCTAAGTATATAAACCTCTCGATGAAAGCTTGCAGGTGCTCAGCATTGCTCAGAATCAGACCTTTTATGTAGTTTATTAAAAAGACATTCTCATGCTACAAACAAATGTTACAGAGAAAAAGCAAACGTTAGCTGTTAGTGAATAAACATATGCAAGAGACAAGATGCTAATGAGCTTTCAAAAAGCAGTACACATACCATCCCAGGTATCTCCACCACCTAGAGAAAAGTGTAAGAGATGAACACAAGTACAGGACAAAAGGCTGCAGATAAAACAGTAATTTACACAGCTAAGAGAAAATTTTTATATTAGCACATTTATCAAAGAGCTCAACTAATGCATGTAGTAGTCTACATACTGCTGAGCAAACTAGAAATCAGAGAATGAAACTGATGAAAAGACTAAAGGATGAAAGCATTAGTTTCTGCAGATGGCCAAGTGATTCTCTGGTGATTTTGCATTAAATCGTGTAATGAGGTCTAAAAACATCCGTATCCATTTTAGCTGTGCAAGAGAACAGCTAACTAGACAGCCTGAAGAAACAGGAATTCTGATAATCCTAGTCAAGTTCAGAAGTCATGCATGTAAGGAAAAGCTCCTGAGCCGGAGCTAATTTCTTTCCAGGAGTCTTCCTCACCTTCTGTCTCCATGTCTTGCCCCTTTGGAGCTTCCCCGATATCAATAGTGAACATCACTATCTTGGGCGTCATGGTGGACATTCTGTTGCTAAAGCAAAACTTGTAAGTTCCATCCATGTGGGCGGCAAATGTGTACTTTCCACTGGACTCTCGATCGCCTTTATAAATTCCTTTATTATCAGGCCCTGTAATCTGGATGGGGAAAACAAAGTATCACATATTTTATTTAAAATACAGTGGTTTTAAATACAGCATTACAGCATTGCATGCATATTCTGAAGTTATCCAGTTAGAATTACCAACGCCATCTGTAATCTGACTGGTTTGGCATTCTTCATACATTCCCTCCCACAACTCAAAGGCAGCGATGCATTTTTCTACACAGAAATCTTTTTTTTTTTTTTTTTTTAAAAAAACTTCTTGGTAAAGAGAGTCATACAAAAGCCTCTCTTACTGGCCAAGATTACTAGCCTTCCATAGCCAAGATAAGAAGCATTCAAGTAAACCATAAGCTATCTACAGCCCTGGTTGTTAGCCAAATTAACAACTGCAGGGGAAACCTTATCTGTGATGTTTGAAGAAAAACAAAAAGGAAAAAAAAGACATTCTCCCATATGTCAATGCTACTCTAGACATACAGTCGTGTGTTGTTGCGGTTACCATTTCAAATGGCCTAAGGGCCTGAGTACTGAGCGCTCAGGGTCACTGGGACCTTAAGGCTTCCATCCTGCCAGGCCACCGAACTCTGCTGCTGAGCTTCCGTTAGTGACATCTGAATGGGATTTCACAGCTTCCTGACGCTGTCCTCTATTAGAGCGATGTGCAATTTTAAACAACTATATTCGCTCTCAGCAACGACTCTCTCATGTTTAAGTTATCCCAAACAAACAACTATCCGCTCTTCACCAAGATGAAAGGAATTTTTATTTACTATTCTCCTACTGATTTGACGTCTCATTGAAAAAAAGGACTTACCTACAACTTTCAAGATGGCAATCAACCTGATTAAAGCCAATACCTTTTGATTCAAGGGGAGACACGCTGCTCTCAGAAGCAACGAGTTTTTGTAACGAGTAATCCTGTTCGTTCTTCCCGCCAAACGGTTTATTGTGACAAGACCGTATAGAGCAGAGTATGCAGAGTAACGAAGCAGAGTAACGAAGCAGAGTAACGAAGCAGAGTAACGAAGCAGAGTAACGAAGCAGAGTAACGAAGAAAATCTCAAGAGAACAGCTCTGAAAACAGGCAGACTGCCTTCTGCAGCAACAGCAGCCTCAGGAAGCGTAACCCCCAGAAGAGGCACCTCGTCCCCTCCGAGACCGCCCACGCCACCACGCGAGACCCGATCCCGCTGGGCAGAGAGCCCTTGTGCCCAGCAGGGACGTGTGACGCGTCCCAAACTTCACGGACGGTTCAAACCACCCTCAAACCGGTGTTTGTCCCCACAGGGCACCGTCACCGCTGCCTTCCCGGGCGCTGCCCCGAGCCGCCTCGGCCTCCCCACTCCCCCACGCGGCGGGGGACGAGCGCGCAGGGCCC